CTGGCCTTGAGCTCACTTTGTAGCCCAAGCTGGTCTTGAACTCACAACGATTCTCCTGCCTCAGCCTCCCAAATGCTGGGATTACAGGGGTGTGCCGCCATGCCCGGCTTCCATTTTAATGTCTGATTTAGAAAAACTAGAATATGTGCAGAACAATAGGTAGCTTCTGTGTAGCCTGAGGAGAAGTGGGGGGAAAGAAAAGAGAAAAAAAGGGGCTGGGGATTTAGCTCAGCGGCAAAAGCGCCTTCCTGGCAAGCGCAAGGTCATGAGTTCGGTTCCCGGTACCGGAGAAAAAAACCAAAAAGAAAAAAAAAAAAGGAAGAGAAAAAGAAAAGGAGACAAAAGGCAAGGACAGAAGTTTCATAGTAAATAGGAGTAATGAAGGGTGATTTTTAGATGACAAAGTATTTGGTACTATGCAAGAGTCCTGGCCTGGAGAAGGCCCATTGTGGACTTTCTGTGGCTGCACCTCCCCCTGCAGAGTGAGGGGTCCACAGCACCAGAAGACAGGGGCTCTGGAACCCAAGATTCCCTTAAAGCCACCCGGAAAGAGCCCAGAACTCTCACTTTCCGGTCCAAGTAGCCTAGGCCCCTCCAGAGCTTGTGTGGGCCTCTTCCTAGGCCCAGATTCCCAAGGGTGAACCATGCCACCGATGGGCTGGACACAGTTGGAGACCACTAGGGGACAAACTTCTGGGCCTTCACCTGTTACTCATTAAAAGCACTACATGTGTGTTTTCTTCTGAGGTAGTCAGGGACTTAAAAGCTGTTTTTGCTCAAACAAAAAACAACGATTCTTTAAGACTGAGGGCATCAAGATAAAGAGATTTACAGGGACAAATACCAGTCACTATGGTAAACCTACAGTCACCTTGGATTCCAGCAGAGCCTGCATGAGACCGAGACTGCCGAAAGCAGGACAATCATCTCCTGGGGACCAGGTTGAGCAAGAAAGACTTCTCAGGGAGCCACCTTGCAAAACCAGAACCAAGAGAGTGGTCAAGCAGACTCTAGTCCAGCCCAACTCCATAAAAGCTGTTGCCTTCAA